ATCGCTCTAAGCCACTATTGCTTTACGACAACGCAAGACTACACACTGCACAACAAATAACCACTAAGTTGGATGAGTTACAATTGGAATGTCTGCTACATCCACCGTACTTCCCGGACCTTGCTCCAACAGATTACCATTTTTTCCGGAATTTAATCAACTTTTTACAAGGAAAAAAATTCACCTCCGATGCGGCAGTCCAAACCGACTTCAAAGAGTTTATTGATTCTCGCCCCCATGGTTTTTTTAGTATAGGGATCAATGAACTACCTATGAGATGGCAACATTGCATAGATAACAAGTAACAACGGTGCATACTTTGATTAATTAAATATATTTTACAAAAAAATGACTTCATATTCCTCCCGTACAAAACGCCAATTACATATGTAAGGAAGATATGTAAATATAGAAGTCGTATTAAAATCATTTTGATAAGGAGAAGGTACCGAATTAGATAACAAAGCAAACAGTTCTTGACCTTTGAACCAATGCTGTTTGAATGCAAAGATTTATTATTTACTTCGATGGTTATTTACATAATCATTTTATATACCATACTATTACAAAAACTTCAATTTTGTCATTCATACTTCTCCGTGTTTCTGTCTGTCTGTCTGTCTGTCAGTTACCTACCTATTCACTGTCTAACCGCTGAACCGATTTGAAGGAAATTTGGTGAACAGCTAGTTTGAGTCGCGGTAAAGGATATACTATAGTTTTTACCCTAGAAATCAGTTACAGACGGGACCTTTAAGTGAACGAAAAGGGAACTGGGAGCAGAGGCGGCGTAAGGCGTGGGCGACGTGGGCCACCGCCTACGGCCTCGCTGTACAAGGGGCCTCGCGCCTCAAAAATTTTTATGCATTAGTCTCCGAAAATCCGATATCAAACTGATTTTTTTTACGCCAATATGGAATTAAGATTTAAGTCTTTAAATCAACATTTTCAAGATTTCGGTTTTCTCTATGATTTAAGCAAGCTAAAAAATATGCCAGAGGAGCAAATATTAAAACACTGTAACGATTTACTTATCGTCCTGCGTGTGGGTGAGAGCAGTGACTTCCAACCATTTGAATTATATGAAGAATTAAATACAATGATCCCAAATTTACCTAACTTCATAATAGTGTGAAACAGCTGCTGTTATATATAACAGAAAATAGCTTGAAAGAAATTTACCCAAATATTAACATTGTCATCCGAATTTTATTAACAATTCCGGTAAGTACAGCTACAAAGGAGTTTTCAAAATTAAAATTAATAAAAAAATATTTTAGGAACGCAATGAGCCAGGAAAGACTTTCAGCTTTCACTGTTTTATAAATTGAATTAGATATGGCATCTAGACTAAATTACGATACAACAATTAAGGAATTTAGTAAAGTTAAAAGCAGGAAATTTCTGTTCCTTTAATAAAGAAATATAAATATTTTTTAATATACACTTTAAGAAATGTATACAAGGTGGAGATGACAATACGACAATAAATGCAAACATTGGCTGCACTATTAAATATAAGTTCTTTATAGCTAAAAAATGTAGTTAGAAATAAAATTTCATTTTTTTTCCCAAACAAATTTAGTGACAAACGGTTTTAAATGACAAACATTATTTTTTGGCGCAATTACGCAATATCTCTTTGGAAATAATCACTGAATTAATAAATCAGAAACTGTCAATATTTTAAAATATGCTGACATGATATTTTACCATTGCATAGATCATTGACCCCTATGTACCTTATACAGCATGAAGAAAATATTTAAACTGTTAAATTATGTCCTGACTGCTGTCCTGATTACATAAGGCCGTATACAGAAAGAAAGCCGAAAGCCGATCGGCGCCGATCAGCGCCGATCGGCGCCGACTCGCGCTGGTCAGCTGCCATTTTAAATTAATAAACAACGACAACAGGTACGTCAATTACTACACGCAATTATTTTTTAAGTAGAAAAATATGTTGTTCAAATAATGAATGATTTGTATTTGAATTAATATCTTTAGATTAAATCAATCTAAGTTATAATCTTTTTATAAATCTAATAACTTTATCTATTAATAACTAAGAGCTAAAATTATTTGTTTCGTACTTACCGAATGGTGACAACAAGTCTTTCTTCTGGAAGGATTGGTTGTTTATGCCAATTACACCAATTTTTCATCAAACGGTTTTTCACTAAATCCAAAATGTAATAAAATGTTTCTTGAGTCATTCTTGTATATTATGTATAAAATCTTTGATCATCAAATTTCATTTTTTTTTTTACAAATAAATAATGATATTCTCCGAAACGTTTCCTTTCTCTATTTATAGGATGTATAGCTTTTTTTCGCATTTTAAATACACATTTTCTAACAAAACCAAATCATCGTCCGATGAGTCCGACATTTTGCTTGATCTGCTTTAATCGGCTTCCTTTATGTATAAGGATCGACGCCGATAAGCGCCGATAAGCGCCGATAGGCGCCGATCGGCTTTCGGCTTTCTTTCTGTATACGGCCTAAATGTCACTAGCAGAATCATCGTCAGTAACTATGGAGTCATAATTTTTAACAAATGGAATTGAATTGATTGTTTTTTGGACTGGAAGCGTCCTTTGAAAGCCGATATTTAATTTATTAGTATTGTCATCTCCATGTCTAATAATAATCTTTTTTATTAATCGTTTTTTTTTATTATTTTATAAAATCCGTCTTCAGGTCGCCACAGAACAGGCCCACATCAAATTTAGGTCTTGCCCCGCCACTGACTGGGACTTTGTAAGGAAAACCGAATTTCCACGCTGACGAAATCGCTAGTACCACTTGTTAATAATAAAAATAAACGTGAGTGCGTATTAACATTTTTAAACAAATATTCCACTGTTTCCATTAATATAAAATACATATATCCTTCTAATCCTATCCTATTAATATTATAAAAACGAAAATTTGTATGGATTTAAGTGTCATGTGTGGATGTTTGTTACTCTTTCACGCTAAAACGGCATCACTTATCAAATTCGGCATATAATAATATAGATTCATAGTTTGTTTTATAAGATTAACATATAGGTAGGTTACTTTTTATGCTCTGTTTGGCATTTCTGTGCGAGACGGAACGCACCAAGTTCAGGTTCGGCTCGGTCACCAATTCGTATGGTGCTGCATGACGCGATATAAAAATCGACGCTGCCATTGGTCGCAAAATATTGTTCCCAACCCCTCTTCCTCGAATTATGTAACAGCAATTTTTCGAATTTAAAAATATACGCTATTAGACTTTCAAAGATATCACACCTTTTATTTAAATTTCCAAAATCTCAGTCTCAAAACTCCGTAGCTAAGCATAGACGATACGAAAACCAAGTACCGGTGGTCGCTATCCGGCACATGCGGCCCTTCATCGCCAAATAATTAGATCCAGCACCCTGTGGAAGACGCGGTCGAAGCTGCTGCTACGGACATCACCTGCAATAGACGAGCATATTCTGGACTGAGGACTACTTGGAGGCTAAGCGCATACAGGAATCGAAGCTGGAGTGGCATTCCATCGAGCATCATACGCAATCTGGTGGGACCAACCATCCTTTCTATTCCTAACACCTCCTGGTTCTATTTGTGATACCTGTGTCTAAACTGATTTCAGTGAAATATACGCATAGGAGCTATTTGGACAGATCCCGACAGTCATTTTGCGAGCTTGTGACGTTGCTATCACTGCCGACGTGTATCAGAACATCCAAATTGTAAGTACTCCTGTTTTTCACTGACCACCAAAATGCCTACCGAAAATGTATTAACTGTTGATAGCGAAAATCCTAGATCGCATGATAGATCTCCTATTTCGCAATGCGCAGATCCAGCTTTGATTCGCGACCTAGTTCGAAAACGAGGTGTCATTAAAGGCCGACTAACTAAATTTTTTACGTATCTGCTCTCTTTAGAACAGAACGAAAATCTTATTTTTTCCTCGCAGAACCGCATAGATTTAAAATTACGCATTAAAGGAGCTACTAGTTTAAATGCTGAATTTAACGAGGTTCAGAGTAAAATCGAAGCGTGTGTACCCGAAAGTGAGATCTGTGAGCAGTTGAATAACCGTGAAATATTTGAAAATTCTTATTATAGTACGGTAGCGCGCGTAGAACACATAGTGAGGAGTTCTGAGGTTAGTGACGGTTCTGGTGATAGGAGTTGCTATAACGAACAAGCACAGTTAGTCAAGCTGCCCACTATTTCACTGCCTACCTTTGATGGTTCCTATGAGCACTGGCTCGAATTTCGCGATACCTTTTTATCTTTGGTACATAACTCTAAGCGTATCAGTGATATCCAAAAGTTTGACTATTTAAAATCCTCGTTAAAAGGCAATCCTGACCTGGTTGTCAACTTCGTGGAATTTTCTTCCGATAATTATAACGTTGCATGGGAGTTATTGCTTAATAGGTATAATAATAATCAACTTCTAGTACATAACCACGTCAAGGCGTTATTTTCTATTAACCCGTTATCTAGGGAGTCCCCCGCTTACATTAGAAAGCTCATAGATACTATTCTTAAAAATATACGCGCTTTAAAAATCCTAGGTGAACCAACGGATTCTTGGGACACCCTCATAAATTATATTATTGTATCAAAGTTAGATAGAACCACTGAACGCGAATGGGAGACCTACAAGTGTACGTTCATTCCGAACGACAACAATTCTAAACGCATAATAAAACTAGACGAATTAATCGGATTCTTAAAGGCACGGGCGGATATGTTGGAAACATTGCAGCTTTCGCATCACAACGAACCTTCTACGCAATCTGAGCACAAAAGGCAAAGCTCATATTCAAGCACACATTCACGTAACGCATCTCACTGCAATGTATCTACACATAAGCTGGGCGACACTCAATCTCAACGCGTCAAACCGTTTTGTTTGAAATGCAACGGTAATCATCCACTATACTCATGTCAAAAATTCATTAATAGTGATTTAAAAGCAAAATTAAATTTAATAAGCGTACACAAGCTTTGCAAGAATTGTTTACGTTCAGGACGCGCACTCGATAGTTGTAGGTTCGGTCCGTGTAGGAAATGTAACCGAAAACATAACACATTGATCCATAGTGAAAACACAGACAATTCGGTTGCACTTCGTGCACTTAGTACGGCGACTGGGAGCTCCGCGACAAGCGCAGACACAGCGGCACCGCCTGCGAGCATCCCATCCTCCGCTCCCGCAAACCGGCTCCCGATTCACGTTAACAAAGCACACATGCAAATTGATTGCGCTCAATCTATAGGCACTCACACCGTTCTATTGTCAACAGCTGTTGTCGAAGTCGCCGATAGTAATGGTATTAATATTATAGTAATAGGCGCGCGCGCTGCTTGACAATGGAAGCTAGCGGTGTTTTATAACCGAATCATTTCGCAAATTAATTAACGTACTAATTATACAGACCACTTTTGAAGTTAGAGGTGTAGGCGATTCAGTTTTACAATGTTCAGAGACTTGTAACATTGAAATAAAATAACGCGTTGATAATAATTACATCACGCGCATTTCTTGTTTTGTTTTATCACGAATAACGTCTTCGTTGCCGGCCTTATGTCAATTAAGCGAGCAGTTCTGTATTCCAGACAACATAACGCTGGCAGATCCGCAGTTTTTAAATTCTATAAACATAGATTTATTAATAGGCGCAGATACTTTCTGGGACCTGTTAGGCGAAGGAAAAATGCGTCTTCCTAACGGCCCTTACTTACAGAATACGAGGCTGGGGTGGATTATTTCCGGCCCTATTTTTAATAATTCATTTAATTCAAAACGCATTCAATGTAACTTTAGTTCTTCTTTAGACTCACAATTACGCTTGTTCTGGGAGCTCGAGGAACTTCCCTCGATCAGGGATACGAGGACTGAGGAAGAGCGTGCATGTGAAGAACACTTCCTTCGTACTACTAAACGCAATAGCGAAGGAAGGTTTTGTGTTCGCATTCCACTAAAACAGTCACCTGATACGTTAGGCGAATCTTATACGCAAGCCGAGCGCTGTTTTTACGCTTTAGAAAAACGTCTGCAACGTTTGCCTAATAACAAATTATTATATTGCAGTTTCATGCAGGACTATATCGACTTAGGTCATATGAGTCCAGTTACCACTTACGAGCATCCATGCTATTTTATGCCGCATCATGGTGTATTTAGGGAACATAGTTCCACAACTAAGTTGCGTGTGGTTTTCCATGCCAGTGCGCCGTCTACCTCTGGTAAGTCACTTAAAGACTTGCAATTAGTCGGCTCGCCGATACAAGGCGATTTAATATCAATTCTTCTCAGATTTAGACAAAATAAATACGTTGCGTGCGCTGACATTGAAAAAATGTTTAGAAATTGCCTAGTAGACGAAGACCAACGTAAATTACAAATGATTTTGTGGCGCGATGATCCATCGAAGCCTTTAGGCATATTTCAATTAAATACCGTTACGTACGGAACCGCCTCTGCCCCCTTTCTCAGCGTGAGGTGTTTAAAGCAATTAGGCATTGAATCATCGGATCCCGAGGTTCAATTAGCTATTAAAGAAAACTTTTACGTCGACGATCTATTATTGTCTCATAATGATATGAATGATTTATTACAATTATGTAAAAATATAAAAAATACACTTCAGGCAGGTTGTCTTCCACTTCGCAAGTGGACATTTAATTTCTCATGCGACTTTGATGATAGTTTGTCGAATCATTAGAAGGAAATTAGATCAAACGAAAGTATTAATCCTAAAACGATGGGTTTAGGATGGAATAATGTTTGCGATCAATTTCATTTCACTACTCAATTAAAAAACGATAACAAACCCATCACTAAACGGTCAATTCTTTCTAATATATCACAAATCTTTGATCCTCTTGGTTTTTTGAGCCCTATGATAATTATCGCAAGAGTATTATTGCAACAATTATGGCTCCTTAAAATCGGTTGGGACGACGCAATCCCAGCGACCGTCGGTTTGTTGTTTCTTTGCAGGCACTCGGTACGCTGCGAGTGCCTCGCCACGCTGTAGGTAGTCAACCATTATCTATCGAACTGCATGTTTTTAGCGATGCGTCGCAGACCGCGTACGGCGCTTGTGTTTATGTTCGAACTGTTAATCCAGATAACACTATAACCGTTAGATTACTTTTCTCTAAAGCAAAGGTCGCGCCTTTAAAACCGACTAGTATACCACGGCTCGAACTATGTGGTGCTTTGCTCGGTGCGAAACTTTTAGATAAAGTACGTAGTTCATTGCATTGTTCATTTAATAATCTAGTTTTCTGGACAGATTCAACCATTGTGTTAGGGTGGCTGCGCATGGCTCCTAATAAATTGAAAACATTTGTTCAAAATAGAATTTCCGAAATTCATGATTTAACTAATGATGTTGTTTGGCATCATGTCCGCGGCAAGGAAAACCCTGCGGACCTGGCCTCACGTGGTTCTAGTTTGGGTGATCTTTCTTCTTCTACTTTATGGTGGGAGGGTCCTGAATTTTTGCGAAGTTCTAATTTTTCACTAAGCGATTGTACTATCACAGATACGTCAGAGGAACTTCCTGAGATGAGGCAGCCTATTTCATCTTTTGTAGTTCATAATTCATCCAACTCAAAGCTGTTCGAATTTAATCGTTTTTCGCAATATAGGCGCATGAGGCGTGCTGTGGCTTTTGTGTTACGTTTTTTACACAATGCTCGCAACAAGAATAATAAACTGACCGGCGTCATTGGTGTCGATGAGTTGAATGCATCTGAGAATGTTTTAATAAGGTGGTCTCAGATGGAAAGCTTTCCAAATGAATATTCTTTGTTGCTCAAAGGTTCACAAATAAAGTGCAAAGGTAGCTTAAGTAAACTTAATGTATTTATGGATATAAATAATATAATGCGTGTAGGTGGCCGTTTAACTAACTCAAGTGAATTTTCTTATAATAAAAAGTACCCTATTTTAATAAGTAGTAAACATTATTTTTCAACATTATTATTTCGTGGTGAGCACCAGAGACTTCTCCATGCTGGACCCCAGGCATAACTTTATAACTTACGCGAGACCTGGTGGCCTTTAGGTGGCAGAGGTCTAGCTAGGCAAATAGTTTGGAGTTGTATTACTTACAAGCGCCTTAAGGGTACAACATTAACACCCCCTATGGGTGACTTACCAGAGGAAAGGATAACGCCTAGCTTTCCATTCATTCGATGCGGAGTGGATTACTGTGGGCCAGTGCACATACTTAATCGTAAAGGTAGGGGGGCTAAAACTGCTAAAGCATATGTTTGTTTATTTGTGTGTTTTGTAACGCGTGCTGTTCACTTAGAATTGGTCACTGATCTCACTACGGACGCATATTTACTAGCACTCAATAGGTTTATTTCGCGACGCGGTAAACCAATAGAAATATTTTCCGATAACAGTCGCAACTTTGTAGGTCTAATGAATGATTTTTCAGGTTTTTTGCGACGATGCGATTCAAATATAAAAGAATATGCCGCGAATCAAAATATTAAATTTTCGTTTATTCCACCTTATTCGCCTCATTTTGGTGGTCTGTGGGAGGCAGGAGTTAAATTTTGCAAATACCATTTGCGTCGGGTTGTAGGTAATTCACATCTCACCTTTGAGGACTTTAGTACTGTGTTGTCACAAATAGAAGCAGTTTTAAATTCCAGACCGCTCTCTCCACTATCCCCGGATCCCAAAGACCTTTCTCCGCTTACTCCCGCACACTTCTTGGTTGGTCGACCACTAACGTCACCAGTCACTGATGAACTCGGAGATATTTCTACTCATCGTTTGAAACGGCATCAAATGGTAGAATATATGCGCCAACATTTTTGGACACGCTGGTCCAAAGAATATGTATCCGAATTGCAGGTGCGGAGTAAATGGACTGATAATAAAGCGGACCTGAAGATCAACACTCTCGTCCTGCTCAAGGACACTAACCTTCCACCGCTTAAATGGAGCTTGGGACGAGTGTTAAGGAAAGGAAATAAAAAAAAAATAAAAAAAAACAAAACAAAATAAAAAAATAATAATAATAAAACCATCGCAGGGAAGGACGGCATTTCAAGAGTGGCGGACATACAAACGGCTTCAGGTGTTGTTCGACGTGCCTACACCAAAATCTGCCCTCTTTTATACGACAATGATTCTGCAAGCCTTGGAAAACATTGAAAGCTGCTGCTTCCAAAGCCGGGGGCATGTTTGGCATTTCTGTGCGAGACGGAACGCACCAAGTTCAGGTTCGGCTCGGTCACCAATCCGTATGGTGCTGCATGACGCGATATAAAAATCGACGCTGCCATTGGTCGCATAATATTGTTCCCAACCCCTCTTCCTCGAATTATGTAACAGCAATTTTTCGAATTTAAAAATATACGCTATTAGACTTTCAAAGATATCACACCTTTTATTTGAATTTCCAAAATCTCAGTCTCAAAACTCCGTAGCTAAGCATAGACGATACGAAAACCAAGTACCGGTGGTCGCTATCCGGCACATGCTCGAAAACGTTAAATTACTGTAGGATTCTCGATAAACTAACTATACACGATTGAAGTCGCGGGCGGAAGCTAGTATTATTTTAAAAATCAAACGGCTGAACGGATTTGTTTGAAATTTGGCATACCTTAATTTATTGCTCGGATTGTGACATAGATTTATATTAAAAAAGTAGGACTTTTTAAATTAAAAGAGAATGTCAGCTTTCATTAAGGACTTTTTTATGCTTAATTATGTGGACATTGTTGTTGGTATCACAATGAGTAATGTATTTATACTAAGTATCTAAAAGTAACAGATATTGTGAGACTGGTTTTTAGTCCTAAATAAATGAAAAAAAAAGGATTCATATGTATGTCGCGTCTGAAGCGGGACATAATAAAAGACGTCTATGTCATTAAAAGTTCGTTTAATAAGAATCAATACTTTGAAGAAAAATACTAATACTAATAAAAGTAGAAAAATACTATGAAATAATACTGCAATTTAAGATATATTCTAGGTAACTACGAGTATCTTAGTATAAACATTACCTATATTACCAAAGTAATTTTCAATTAGGATTACATAATGAAAACGAAATCCTAAACTTATCGAAGTATCTAAGTACTTACCTACATAATACCTCCTAATATAATAGCATTCTTGAACAATCTTATCTCACTATCAACGGGGGATCCGTGATAAATTAAGGTAACATGTTTTTATTAACAATTTATAATTACATAAGTACACTGGAAGGGCTCCACATGGTGAAGTGATTAGTACGTTGTTTCTCCTCCCTATGCTTTTCCTATCAATAGGAAGGTTCAGTATCCCAGCATATTAAAAAGGATGAAATGATGATGAAGTAAGACAGTATTAGAAACAGAAATGGTGTCTTTCACTTTCAAGGTTGTTTTAAAGATCGTGAATTTATTATTATTTATTTATTATTTATTATAAAAAAAAAACAAAATCACGATTATGTCTGAAATTTATCTGAAAATTCAAGAATATAACAAGTACTTAGTTATATTTTTATTTCGTAAACATTAAACTGCTCTATTTATTCGGAAGAAAATTTTACTAGACGAAAATCCATGCGGATCAGGCAGCATATGGAACACGAACCCGCACACTCCGCTATCCTGGCGGATGCACTGACCATTATGCTACGGCGGCCCTATTGACCGCATTGAATTCTTTCTAGTATTTTTAGGGTCCAAGGCAGCGCCATCTCTTCGCATTGTAGGTAACCCACAATGTCTAACGAATACCTTAACAAGTAGTAAACATTTTAAGGAAGAAATAGCAATTGTAGTTATAGATTTATTTTTTAAGCACGAAACTACTAGATGTTTAAATCTAATATAAGTTTTACTAGTAACTTAGTTTTAATAACACATAAGCGCCAAACAAAATTTA